GCGTTTGGGAGCATTGTGTGAAACAATAGTTCATAGTATTGCATAATATTATACATACAAAACCACCTAGTAATAAAATATTTGGGAAAAAAAGTGATGCGTTTTCCATGGCGCTCAGTAATATAACGGTATCTACTTAAAATGATCATTTAAATACTTAACTTCATTATTCTTTTATTATCATTTCTTTTTTTTATACCGGAATAGTATTATTAAATTTACATTAGCACTATTAGATGTCGATCTACGGCTGTTTTTATTAATAATTTGTTTAGTGAAGCCGAATGATAAAATCGCGTTAAGTCTACCAACTACCAAGCGTCGATCGAGATTTTGCCGTGGGTAACAAATCTCCGTAAAATCAAATAGCCCAGTGACGTGTAGTATAGATCAAATGGCTTGCTATGTGTTGAAAATTATTCGTTTAACGGCAATGTATATGAGTAATATGAAAAAACTAATGATGAGAGATTTCATTTAGATTAGATCTACTTGCGCAACACATCAACGCAAATGTCTAGCCTAGACTAGTGCAGATCACGTCAGTCAGTTCTAAATTCTACGTCGCTTGGCCTAGACTCGTGTATTCTGAGCGGACTGACACAATCATGCAGCTGGTCCAGCTAGTTTTAATAGTTAAAGCGAGAATTTCATATTTTCTAAGAAAGTCAAAACATAATTATTTCTATATCTTTTGCTCAATAGGCTGTCAACTCACTATTATAGGATCATAGGTATCATTATGACGCTTATAAAATCATTCACACCGGAAATAATAACACAATTACCACCTTTGTTTTTCTCCCCCCCCCCCCATGGAAAAACTATCTTCAAACGTTTGAATTTGAAGTTGAAAATGACATTTTGGCCAATTTCTCAACTGGCAGTAGTGAATTATAGGAATAATAGGATTATTCTGTAACTTAAAAATATAACTTAAAAATATGAAATTCACTCGGCACAGCTGCAGTCTGAGTCTGTGTTTTGAAATGAACGTCGCCACTTACACCGCGGTCGTCAACGAAGTCCATGCCTACCTTACCGGTAATCAAATTCGAGGGGCTTTCATATTCAACTTAATAATAATAGTCCCTGTTACTACATGATGTATGTATAGATGCGCGTGTTGGTGTTTTTGTTGTTTTATAGCCAATGATAATGCTGTAGCGTAGGTAGCCTAATGTTTTGTTTGTATACTGTCTCTAATAGCCTAATGGGGTGTTAAGATACAATATAATTTTATCTGATCTTATATTAGCCTTAGAAGAAGCAATTGACGATTTTTATATCCCTTCCACATACCCAGTTGAGAGTTAAAATAATAGAACTTACCTTCGGCACGAACCAAAAAACCAATATGGCGTCCCAGAAGCATCTTTCGCGGCAACATTAGAGTCACGTTATCAGTATCCGCGGGAAAAAAACCCGCTAGTGTTACCAGATAATTTACTGAAGAATTAACCGGAATATTTGTCAGCTTCTAGTTGTTTTACAATAAGCCTTAATTAAAATGTATTATAGCTTGTATTGTGTTATTCAATCTCGATCTACGTCGTTAACCAATACAACTGTACCCAAGATCATACGTCAATTTCTATAGATAAGCGCATTGCAATTCCTGTTTTAGGCCCGTATTATGCACTGAATTTGTGTAGCAAACGCTGCACACTACACAATATGCATTAATCACCATTTTCTGTGCTTTGTGTTATTATTTCAATTGCAAAACATCGAATGTAAAAACAGCGACATTTAGGTGCGGGAGAGGCATCTCGTTTACAGTTCATAATACATTTTGTATAATACATGACGGACGTAAACGCCTTTTCTTGCTTTCCCAACCCGTGTGCTCAGCAACATGAAAGCAGGCCAGTATTGCCTATTTATTACACCAATAACTTTAATGCATTAAAGGAAATTATGATTTCCGAAAAATTATAAAGCAAATAAATGATCGATGTCGCACACCGCCGAGTGGGACCCGACGAAATGTTTTAATCCGCAATCAATGCAGTACAAATTCGCCGTGTTCAATGACAAGAAAGTGAAAATGTTATATTATACTTAAAAGTCATCGAATTTGGGGCCCTTTATTTTACTGACAAGAAAGCAAAATATTTTCTTCCAAATAACATTCTGAAAGTTCCGCTTTCACTTTCTCTCGGGATTTTGAATGTGACTTTTTACCTAAATTGCTGCCGGGAACAGGGAATGTCAGGCAATGTCATGACCTTGACTCAGGTTACAACCCCAAAAATGACCTTGCGGGTGCGGGTCACGACTTTGACCTTGACATTTATTAGCGAAAGTCTGGGTGGTACATGAAGTTTTGGGACTTTTTCGATCCCAAGGTCAAGGGTCAGGTCAAAGGTCAAGGCCCCATTCGAAAGGTCAATGAGTTGCCTATCCATGGTCATGACCTTTGATTTGCCGCGCAGACCCGGGGCCTCACCATGTGCCCGGGAGCATCCGACTCAGTAGATATTTTGGTGACCTTGACCCTTTCAGATGACCTTGACCTACCGTGGTCATGTGGACCAAGATGACATTTTGGAAGGTCAAGGTCCAGTGGTCCTGACTTTATTAGATGGGCCTCTAGGGTTCAAAAACCAAAATACTTCCGGGGCCCCTAGCGGGTCAAGGTCACGACTTTTGGTTGCCGATTTTAAAAAATGAAGAACAAATGTTGGGTCAGTCTATCGGGTCACCAAATCCCGGGGCGATTGGAAGACATTTTTTGGGCAAATTTCCCTAGAAAGTGAAATAGCTGAGTATTACAGCGGTGTGGTCTAAGGGCAGATAACTCGCCCATCACAAATCGGATCCGACGACCTTGAGGTCGTGGCTATTTAAACTAAATTGACCCCTGGGAGTCTCGTGGTGACCTTGGTTTGACAATCAGAGGTCAAGGTTCGAACTTCTATATATGACGTTTCGATAACGTTATGACAACGTTGTGACAACGTTTTAACAACGTTGTCACAACAATCTGTATATGACGTTTTGATAACGTTGTGACAACGTTGTGACAACAACCTATGACGTTTTGATAACGTTTTGAAGACGTTGTGACAACGTTGTAACAACGCCGTGACAACAACCTGTATATGACGTTTTGATAACGTTGTGACAACGTTGTGACAACAACCTGTATATGACGTTTGAATAACGTTTTGATGACGTTGTGACAACGTTGTGACAACAACCTGTATATGACGTTTTGATAACGTTTTGAAGACGTTGTTACAACGTTGTGACAACGTTGTAACAACGTTGTAATAACGCCGTGACAACAACCTGTATATGACGTTTTGATAACGTTGTCACAACAATCTGTATATGACGTTTTGATAACGTTGTGACAACGTTGTGACAACAACCTATGACGTTTTGATAACGTTTTGAAGACGTTGTGACAACGTTGTAACAACGCCGTGACAACAACCTGTATATGACGTTTTGATAACGTTGTGACAACGTTGTGACAACAACCTGTATATGACGTTTGAATAACGTTTTGATGACGTTGTGACAACGTTGTGACAACAACCTGTATATGACGTTTTGATAACGTTTTGAAGACGTTGTTACAACGTTGTGACAACGTTGTAACAACGTTGTAATAACGCCGTGACAACAACCTGTATATGACGTTTTGATAACGTTGTGACAACAACCTGTATATGACGTTAGAATAACGTTTTAATGACGTTGTGGCAACGTTGTGACAACGATGTGACAACAACCTGTATATGACGTTTTGATAACGTTTTGATGACGTTGTGACAACGTTGTGTCAACAACCTGTATATGACGTAAATACAACGTCGAATATTGGTCGAAAACACGTTGTACAACGTCACGACCAATATTGACGTTGTCACAATGTTGTAACAACGTTGCGTGCCCGCTGGGTTGCCTGTTCTTCACTGCCCTACTAGTACTACACTTTACAGTTTACACGCTTCTCAACCATTTTGAATGACAGATTTTCAATTGACAAAAATTACCAGCCATTCCTTTTATAAATACGGGACTACCTACTATCACTATAAACCATTCTATCTTCCAAATTACAAAGAATCCATTCTGTATTTTAGTATACAATGTATCATTTGCAGGTGAAAAGTCCAGCCATTTAGTAGGCCTAGTATCTATTTGATCACACGAAAATATAAAAACAACAACCCATCCTATAATTCCACGGCATATACAAATGGTGTTTAGTTGTGGTTTTGTCTATAATATCCATATTTAGCACATAAATGTCGAATACAGTATAAAAAAAGAGCCATGAACGGCTAAGACTCATTGTCACCAGACTAGAGGCAGTTGCTCGGATCTAAGTTAGAGGTTATTAAGGGCTTTTCACACACAATTAAGCAGTTTTATAGCCCAAAATCCATCTGGAAATATCCCTTTAAAAATTATTTCACTACAAAGTCGATATATAGGGGTCAGGTCATAGTTACGTATAGATACGTCTGACACAATACTTACATCAATAAATTAAAATCATAAAAACATCGAGGGGTAATTAGCGCAAGGTTGGCAATCTGCGCACCAGCTTAATACTCGCCGATTGCAGGGGTGAAGATAATCAAGGTTGCGCCTTCGCATTTTCTTAGTGTGCCGCACGACACGATACTAGATTAGTGTGCCGTTCAAAATTTCGCGACACATTTAGGGAGATCTCGCGGCACCTGGGCGTGTCAAAACGGGTCATAGTTCAATTAGGTCAATTCTGCCAAACCGCAACGCATTATGCCAATTATGGGGTAATAGTAAATTTTGATTTTATTTTTAATTTTATTTTGATTTTAACTTCCATTTAATTTCAATTTTAATCACACTGATCAGCAGTGAATTTTCGCTAGGCCACTACAATCACTGATAAGGATGACATCGATGCAACTGAATGAGCCAGAAATATTAACTTTTTTCCTGCGACAAATTAAATTCTAAAACATTTTTTTTAGGTATTGGAAAAATAAATAAAGGCGTTTGACGTATTGTAGGTAAAAATTATTTCCTATTTAGTGTAAATGGGTATTAAAATGACTAAAAGGCAGCATTCGAGCTTCCCGAAGCAGTAACGTCTTATGTAAACAATGCACGCGCCATTCAGCCAATATGACGTTCCTTTGGAGTTTGATTTGATTTTTATCTAGATTTGATTTTACTTTTCAATTTGATTTAGCTTTTAAGATTACTGGTCGTCTGATCTGATTGAATTTCGCGGGGAAAATCAAACCAAACACTCGGCAAACAAAAGAACTCCGAATGCACGGGCCGCTTACACCAAGGTAAAGAAATGCGTTGGACCGTCCTCGATCTATCGTTCCAAAGAACCGTGACAGTCCGGACATAATGCCCCACATAGCGCACTGCATGGCAATGCCCGTTTTCATTGCAGAAAAGTAGTCCTACTACTCCTACGTTAAACCTCACTGAAATTTCTTTGCTGTGGCGTCCATTGTCGTTATAGCCTATAGAATGCATCATTTTGCCGCCGTGTTATGCCATAGGCCGCCTACATGTATTTGAACAATTCAACATATTACTTATTTGCATTGTACTATAATTGTCCACACATGTATTTTTAGACATATTTAAGTTATGTATCACGAAATGTTTTTGCATTTTTATAATAAAGTTTTTGTGTCACAAACTCAAATAGGCCTATAAAGGCGCTAAATTATGTGACGTTTATTTTCAATTTCCCTACGTCATCATGCGATGACGTTGTCCTTGGTATGACGCAAGTGTCAGAGACGTGGTGTCCATTCCTAGATGAACGCTCTGAAAAGAGAATGTACCGGGGTATTTAATTAAGTTAACTTTATCGAACAGTGTATCTAGCATGATTTCACAGTAATGTCTATGACGAACTCATCCCACCATTTAACCGTTTCACCTCCACGGATGAGATGTGATTCGATGATGTACCGATTTCCAGCTAGATTATGGAGAATTGTTAATTCCTGTAGAACTAAAGCTATCAACTGGGGGCCAAGTGGGAAGACAATCAGAATAATCCGAACCTGTTTTCAAGAAGAGTATCTTAAACCTGCAACCAAGCCTTTTAAAACCCAACATTTCTCAAGTTTTATTCGACAACTAAATCTGTATGGATTTAAGAAAGTTACAGCACCAATGTGTATGACTGGCGAATCAACTGATGACTATGACGATCTCTATGAATACAGACACCCCTTGTTCAGACAAAACAAATCCGAATTGTTAACCTACCTTCACCGTAACTGCAAGTCAAAGTGCGACCCCCGCCTGATAAGACAAAAAATAGAAACCATTAATAGCCCGACAAAACTCCGGGTGAGTTGTCAGCTGATAAATTGAAGCTGTCTAAGAGTAATTACGTCATACGTGCAGGCCCAACACAACAGAGTCAGTATACCGCAGACATGTGTGGAATCCAAACATTAGGAACGTTACACTTGTTTTGGTGGCAATTAAGTTACGGATGAGTAACTTGGGATCCTACACACAACAAATTTTTTTATTGTTCATTGTTAGGGTCTATAATCTGAATTATTCTAGTCCAATTTATATCTATTTTTGTGGGTTATATTTCAGATTAGAATGCCTAAAAGAGTTTCTATGAATAAAAGGATATTATCACCAGTGTCGGTTAATACTTTAAACAGAGGTGAGATATTAGTTATTCTCATTCCTTTAAAATTAATGAAATTTTCTTACAAAGCTGACGATTTATTGAGCACCAGGCCACAAGCAACTTTATAAAAAGCTTCACTAATTATATGGGTTTAGTTGAAGTCTTTGGACAAGTAGGCTTAGAATAAGATTAAGAATGTTACAAGATTTTGATAACAAAATAAATCTGAATATGATTCTCCACCATGATCATTTTACCAACATCAGCAAAATTCGCAAAACGAGTAAACGGCTTATTAAATCACCGGAGAAATAATTCCATAGTTTCAATGATTCGTCCTTTAAACAAAAAATCCAAAATATCTGTGATTAAGGCTACGCGCTTACTTGTTCCAAAACAATAGCCTAGGGTCGGTTGGTCGGGCCTTCTGTCAGGAAATTTGCTGAAAACCACACCAAGTACGATTTATAGGAACTAGGAATGAAAGACAAAAGGTCGGTGATATGGGCTCAAAAAACTAAGGCTAGTTGGGTAACCGTAAACAGGTATTTTTTGGGGGGGGGGGGGGCTTAGAAAGTTTCGTTATCAGGAGCTATTTGTCGATTAGATATATATAACACAACACGTGTCGGTAAACTGAAACTAAGTACATGTAATGTCTTTTCGGAGACACGTTATAAAAATACGTCTTTCAATGGTGTTGAATAATTGTTATCGTCAATGTCGTGACTATTTTTCAGATGCTACTACTGCAGATCAAGAAGATAAGAATAAATCTTGTAATTATGTCGTATGTATGAGAGTTGTCAGGTGTGTATGATATTCGACAGAACGATCGAGGCAGATAAAAATTCTTGGACAGTCTTTTAAAGGGGCAATAACACTCTTGCTGGCTTGACAGCTCCAGAAAATAAAAAATAGCCTTATTCTAAGTACTAGATGTGTTAGTGTCCTACCTGTTGTGTAAATTATCCATTAAATCCTATTTTACTTGTCCAGAGGGTTCAAAAATATTTTTAAATCCAAGTCACATTTGAAAAGCTTTACGTCAGGCTTTTAAAATCATTCAGTTGAATTTTTCCAATTTTTTTAAATTAGGTGTGTTAAGATGAAATTTGTATCATCAATTAATTGGAATATTGTAAAATAGTACAATTTGTTGGCCAGAATAAAGATTGGGACATATTATTCAGTTACAACAAGAGTGGTATTGAGCCTTTAACCAAGAGCTAATTTGAAAACAATGTTCAACATTTTATAAAATAGACATTAAAATCTGTTTTGTGTTCTAAATTCATTGAGAAGTTCCATGATTGGTTCTTTTTGTGAAGAACGGCCTTATTATAAAGGGTGATTTTTTGGGTTTTTTCAGGAGCAGTGCTGAGAATGTACCGAAAACACAAGAACAGTTGGTATGTCATACTCCAAATGCAAGGGTCGCTTATTAATTAGATTTTCTTGGTTGAATCCTTGTATTCTTGTTTAATTGATGAGATTGGCTAGGCAGCATATGTTTGGTGTGCTAGCCATAGAAAGGCTATGACGATGTTGGTGTCAGTCAATATTACATGTGATAGACCTTGTTGAACACATTCCAAATATAATTTTAACACTGAGGGCGTGGTGCACTATATGTGTGAAGGCGATATTAGTCGCAGGACTCGTTTGCTTGGATTTTGAATTCTAATTTTCATCTTTTTTTAGTTCATCATGTGGTCTACTTTTCAATATTCAAAAGATGTTCATAAGAGTATTAGCTTGCATCCTTATTTTCAAAAAGGCAAAAACACATTTATTTCCTTTTTTCTTTAGAAAAGTCACAGCTCTGGTAGTGATGTAGCTGACAACTCGTTGATTTCAAGGCACATTCAAAACCATCCACTTCTACAACCAGTGACAAAAGCTGGGCCAACGCTTCAGGTTAATCCTAGATTATATCAACCATTAGCCCCAGGACCAACAACTAAGACGTTCACCTATGGTTCAACCATATTTGTTCCTGTTGCAAGTCCCCAAGCCCCGCCAATAGTTACAAAAGTAAATTATACATGCACTAATAACGTACCACCGCATCAATATCCTGTAAACAACGGCAATATCATAGAGCCATGTTCGATGATTATGGATGGTACCCCCAAGACATCTTCGGTCATTTTAATTGATGATAAATATGATGATACTCCATCTGAACACCAAGATACAAAGCGTTATATTGAGTCAAATACAGCGAAGCCATATGAAAATTGGGTTGAATCTGACATTGCACATAGTATTATTGGATCGAACGCAAACCTTTCTGGTACTAACAACAGTGATCTAGCAGAAAGGGGTGTCGTGATGCTAAATCTAAGTGCACAAGATCAAAACCAGAATACAAACAGCTCCATAGATAACTTTAATACCTCTTTAAATTTGGATTCATTCTTAGTAGAACATGTTAGAAGCCAGTCTGAGAAAGTTATAATGGATGATTTTTGTGAGATGGATACTAATAGTCCCCCGGTGGATCCCGACGACGATTCGCAAGATAAAGGCGATATTTGTTTACTGAATCAATACATTGAAAAGCACACCAACTATGAAGGTGATGTGAATATGGTTAAGGCAACAGAACCTTTAAATGATACATTAAGGGCGAAAGACTCGACAGAGACAAAAGAGTTAGTTGAAAACGATGTTGACCCGAAAGATGTTAATAATGTAGAATCTACGGAACGGTATATAAGTATAGATATAAGTAACCTTCTGTCTGGTAATGATGCATCTGATAAACCGTGTCATTTGCTGCAGTTAGACTCCGATATGTTAAAATTGTTAAGACAAACAGACAAAGCGCCCTTGGATACAGTATCTGTAAGTGCAGTTGATGATTGTAACAATGGTATTTTAGGCTATGTTATTTTACCTCCCACGTGATTTTTACACACTGGTCCATGAACGCTTGTTGTACATTCGTAATTGGAAAATTGTAATATAATGGCTAACACATGACATATATTGGATTTTTACTTTAATTTCAACTTTTCACCATGAAAAGTTTCAATCTTTTGCTTAGTGTATTATCCGATAAAAATAACGCGATTCACAACCAAACTGAACTAATATCTCTTATTGACTGACGAGTCTCGCAGTCTGTGGTTACAGAATGATCTTGCCAGAGCAGTCATGGTGACAATTTGAAGGCGACATTTCTATTTGTGTCAACGAGTTCAAAAATTTGTTCAGTGGTATTACTGGAGTCCTGGACCCTGTTTCTCAAAAACTTAAGCTAAAATCACTAAAATAGATTTTCACTTTAACTAAAATCAAAATGAAATTTTAAATTGTAACTTAAAATGCAATTTTAATAGATTTTAGTTAAAATTGCTTGCGCCCGCGCAGTGCACATTTCTGTTGCAGGCACTTAAGCCTACAGTGAAAGCAAAAACGCTTCGAAACTGAAAACTGTTGACAGGTTGAACTAACGGTTACAATATCAATGGGGAGAGTTTCATACGTTATAGCAATCTTTGCACATGATCAGACAGTCGTAGAGTAGTGAAATTAATGACTTTATTACGTATTATTCTTTTCGAAATGTATCGGTGGGTTGGCCTTGAACTAGGACCTTGGCATTTGATTTACTCCCAGACTTCAATGGAAATAATGTGTATCGATAAACTAAATCGCTTGAATTTCGTAGTTTTATGGTATTTTGGACAACAGAAACTATTGAGAATTGTCAGAAACATAGGATATTAAAATTTGTGACTCAAACTCAAACAACTAATCTAGACTGTAAATTCTTGTCGAATTTTAAAAGTATTTAACAACTTTGAAACTTATCCACCAAATAACTAATGTTCTGATGCCTAGATTTGAAATGTCACCCCCATTACTGTTTCAAAAACACTTTGAAATTACCAAAGTGCCACACTCCTTATTGGATAATGCCTATCTATCTTACTCAATTAAAATGATTGTTTCCTAAGATAAAATATATTTGACTCCTAAGACTTCCCTGATTTATGTCGCCTGTCCAACCTCGTGGGTTTTCTCCGGGTCCTCCGGTTTCCTCCCACTGCTAAAGACCCCTACGCGCAAGCGAATTATGTAAATAAAATTAGACCATATGTTAGTCCCGAAATGACCTAGTTTGTGTCGAGTGGACGTTAAATCCCATTTCTCTCTCTCTCTCTCTGATTTATGTTGTGTTATTAACGTAATCCTTCATTAAGAAATAATAATAAATTTATGATATTAAAATTTAATTTCGAATAGGCATATAACATTTTTCAATAAACACCTTTGAGATTATTGATTTATCTTTTTACAAATCATCATAAGGGTTTTTGTTTACTGGGGTTGTGAGTGGTTTTTTTCTTGAGGTTCTAATTTGGGGCGTCATCTAAAGGCTTTATTCCCTTACAATAAAATAAACGAGTGAACCGAACTGCATTTCCCATGCTTTGAAAAGAAATTGAATGAGAATTCTTTTGTGAATGATGGTATGTGAAAATTATGTGACACTGGGCATGGGCAATATTAACATTACTCCAAATATACCTATTATATACGGTATATGTCGCAATAGATCGAAGAACGTAATCAGTGTTTGTTAATGTCGTGATTTTAAGTTAGGAGAGGGTGACGACTGTCCTAAGTTAAAAATGATTTTACTTAAAATTCTCCCTAAAATAGGTTTGTGAAGTGCCACTATTTTAAGTTAAGATAAAAAAAAATTAACTTAAAATATTATTTAGTGGATTTTATCTAAAATGCTTAAAATCGTTTTGTGAAACTCATCTATCTTAAGTTAAGATGAAATTTTAGTTTAGGACGATTTTAAGGAAATTTAAGTTTTGTGAAACAGGGCCCTGGGTCCAGGCTTTTAGAAATTGCTACAACCAAGTGTCTGTTCAATTTCAAGTTGACTTTAGTAGACGTAGGAGGGCAATCTCAGTTGGTGGAGAGGAGGCGGGGTGTCTGAGATTATTTGCCCGAAAATTTTCCGCGTCCCCCCAATTTTCATAATGAATTAATCATAAACTAAACGAGTTTTCCACAAATGTTATTGCGCAAGGTTTTAAATATTATAGTATTCAAAACGTAAACCACGAGCGATTTCATTTTATATATATCTATGATATATGGTCTCATTCTCTGAAGTTTATGCCTGAAAAATGGAAATACATTGCCCGAAAAATGAACGCCTATGATAATGCCTCTTGAGGCCTTCAGTTTAGTTACAACATTCAAGTCCAGATACGGGGGGCAGTAGTAAAAAAAACATCATACGTCAAGTCGAAAAATATGCACTGGACCAGGGTAGATCACCCACCCATTAAAATCTTGCGTAAAAAAATATGCACCATCATTTTTAAGAAAGACCACCCTAAAATCTTGCGCAATAAAATGTGTTCTTCACAGTTGCTTAATTGACCACCCAAAAATCATGCGCAAGAAAATGTGTTCCTTACAGTTGCTTATTAGACCACCCTAAAATCTTGTGCAAGAAAATGTGTTTCTTGAAATATCTCATTTTAGACCACCCAAAAGTATGTGCAATACCTAACTACTAAAGGCTTAGCAATAGAACAAATGACAAGACGATATGTTATAAATACAGTATTTATATTGAGTTGATGTTCGACAAAATTCTGAGTCTGAATTATTAGCAAAGATAGTCTAAAACTGCCCATATGCAGAGACAGGCTAAAATATATGAACTTAGGCTTGTACCTATTCATTTATTGTGCTTTCCCATATCCACTCAAATCTACTGATCACAGGTTGACCAATTTTGACCAGAGTGTGAAGAAGTAAAAGATTACCCAAATCTCATCTCGGCATGCTGCGGTGTTGTAGGTAAAAAAGATGTTAACCCTCTCCACACGACGTGTTTATTCTGAGTGGGCTGGCAAACCAAATTGACAGGACAACAGTCATCAAATCACGGGATAACACTTGAATGAAATGATAAGGCTTTGAAATATTAATGAATATTTATGTAAATAAACATATACAAGAAACAGGAGTTACAGTACAAACATAAACAAGTTGACAGCTTTCTTTGTTGACAGTTTAAATTCAATAGTTAGAGTTCACAGTCACGGAATTCACAGTTCACAGAGTTCATAGTTCACAATGTCTATGGAGATCCGCCATGTTAGAAAGCATGGGTTTTCACGAAATTAAAGTTCACTTTAAAGTTAACTATAAAGTTAATCACAGTTGTCACCTTACAACACAAAGTTCACCATTCACTTAAGTATCACAATTGTCCTAAAAACATAGTTACCAAACACCACCTCCGAGACAGGGAAAAAAACAGTATCGACACAGCATTGTAACATGCTTGTGAATCTTGCGTTTTGGTTGGTGGATTAGACACTGTCGATTGGACAATATATAACTCCCCTCTGTTTAGCAAGGCGAATAACTGCATATATAAATATTACAGTGTACTTTTTTTTCATTTTGTGCTCAGCCATCTTCCTCAACCCAAATCTTTATTGACAAAAATATCTTCAAGAAATTCTGCTCAAATGACCATCACACTATTTTCAAACTTCATCCAAACACATCTCTGAAATATATAAAACAGAAGAAAATCAGTCATAAACAGGTATCATAAATTATTCGTAACTAAGCAGTGTGGACAATTTTGTTTTGTTTTTTTGCACTCTGGGAGTCTCTGCAGTGTTTACTTTAAAGTGGACAATTTAAATCAAAGTTTGCCCAAATTCTGAATAACATGATCCGCCTGATAATGAGTCATTAGTCTCAAGAAATTGTTTGAAAATATAGTCACTAGGGGAGGTGAAATAGCAGCTGATTTTGGCCTAGGATAACGGGAAATTATGCTAAAATTGACAATGACAATGATTGACAACACGTCAGAACGATATACATGTACATAGCAACCACTTGAATCCTAGGCATCACATAGTTTTATAGGGTATTCTGAGGGGTGTATGCAAGAACTGCTATTCTCTGAACAAGAACTAGCAATAAAATTGTGTTGACGGTCTGCAAATAAAATAATAAAGGCTAAAAACTCACCCATGTTAAAGTTATCAAAACTTCGAAAGTGTAGCCATCATTGTCGCCAAGAGTTATCCCTGTGTAGTCTCGGTTAACAGGCCGTAACTAATTCATTCACGACTGGCACTGCCGGTCAAAAAGGCCACACTAAGGCTAATTTACTAATCTTTTTAAAAATCTTCAGACGTTAAAAATATTTTATTTGAAATATTCGAATAGCATTTTCTTTCATAATTTATGTACCAGCGACCCAAGACTCATTAAGCATTTTAAAATTGAATTTATCTTCGCTTGGATTCGACCACTAATTCGACACACCTCGGTTAAAACGGAAATACGATTCTATTTTGATGGAGTTGTTATTGATATGAACTGAAACACTTCGTATCCCGTTTCATGCAATTTTCTTGCAGGGACCCATTAGACCACCCAATTTTCTTACCCAGAAATGCTTTTTTTCTTTCAGAACTCTGTTAGACCACCCAATTTTCTTACCCGGAAATGCTTTTTTTCTTGCAGAACTCTGTTAGACCACCCAATTTTCTTACCCGGAAATGCTTTTTTTCTTGCAGAACTCAGTTAGACCACCCAATTTTCTTACCCGGAAATGCTTTTTTTCTTGCAGAACTCCGTTAGACCACCCAATTTTCTTACGCGGAAATGCACTTTTTCATGCACTTTTTTCGGCTGATAATTGACAAATAATTCGTATTTTCAACGTGTAAGACTTTGGATGATATTGAGTTAGAGACTAGCTACTTTAATCAAATGCAATCGCCGCGTTCGCACGGTATACAAAACTAACAAACTAGGCCGTTTCGTTTCCGGACTACTAACATACGTTACAATTTTTTTTTCTCAATAAATTGCTTGCGCGAGGAAGGCAAATCGAAGGGTCCTGGATAAGACCCACAATTGGTCGGCCAGGCGACCTACTCCTTTGGGGGTCGAAACCTAACGTTAGACACCCCACCCCCACCCTATCAATTGCCGTAATAAAATATCAACCCAATGCAATGCCAAATCAATAATACTCCAGTACAATTTTGCGATTCATGAACAAAATTCGGTTTGGATTGATCCGCCATTACGAGATTCGCGCTTGCGCATACTGCAATTTTGAATCGCATTGTTCTAGGTGTAAATGGTGTATGGTTATTACCAATTTTCGTCAGATGTGGTGAGAAACCGTTCCTTTTGTAAGTTTTTGGCAAACAAAAATAAATTACGTTGAAAAGTAAAAGTAAAACAGGGAGGTACTCCAAAATAGCTCGAGAACACAGTAGAGTGGTATTTTTATATAGATGCTTAAGGACGATCAGGAATTGTTAGAGGACTTCGTGTAATACTATGGTCTTTGCGACCATATTGTATCTTTAACTAATTATTTGGTCAAATCACACGTACTTAAATGAATTTGAGTGATGTATTCATATTATATAAAAACAGTGATATTTTGGTAAAATCCTTACCATTGTCAAAATATCCAAATACTATCTTGTTTATACGACATGTGTTTGGTATACCAAATAAGGTAATGTTCTCCCCCCGGTTTTGGGGTATGGGAATTTTTATTCTATATTTGGGGAGGAAATTAACGCCCTGGGCCCTGATTCACGAAATCTTAACTAAAGATAAAATCCAAATTTTAGTAGATACTTCAATTTTGATTGGCTAAGCACTAAAATCAATCTAATATTATCCAATCAAATTACTAAAATTTGGATTTTATCTTAGTTAAGTTTTCGTGAATAAGGGCCCGGTGTGATAGTTTGAGTTGACTCCTGGTGTGTGTTTTCTCCTGGGCACTTGCGCATGTCCGAAACTGATGTTTGCCTTAACAACGAAACTATATCTTCTTCCTGCGGTGCGAGTTGGTTCCTGGTCAGTACAGGAAAAAGTATATCATGTACTTGATTAGAGTTTTGTCATTAATAAACATACTTGTTATCGTGATTAGCTATTGTTTTAGTGATGAGTAGTTACACGATCAACGGATCTAAGTTGATTGGCTTGAAATCGTTCGTGATTTGTTGCCGTTGTTTTTTTTTTTTTAGTGATTAGTCGTTCTACACACGTACGATCAGTGGAAACCATACAAACTGATGATTGGCTTGAAATTATCAATTAATTCACCTCCAAAGGAAGATTAAGGCCTTTGATATTTCGTGGCTTCATTTATCACAAATATAAAAGTATGGAATTTCTTATTCCGATTTCTTTAACATAAATATAGATTTATTATACCATCATATATGGCATGTATGTAGACAGCCCAAATACAAGAGAGAATGTTCGCATTGTGGACGGGTATATATACTAAATAATAATAATAAAGATCGTCAATTTGCATCCTCTCGTGGTGGTAATACTGTAAATATTGGCACATAATAGTCTATATATTGATTTGACCGTAAGAAAATCTTAGGGGAAATCCTATCACGAGGAGTCAATGCACACCGCGACTGTAACGGTGTGAGTTGACTCCTACAACTGCGCATGCGCCAAACGGTAATCACACACCAGGAACCATCTGAAACTGCCACACGGGGTCAGTCTATGACTTAGATAAATTTGGGGGTTATAAAAGAGAGTGTTGAGCGAAATGCACCAGAGCTCACCCATATTTTCCGAGCAGCTATCATCAATACTTTATTGAGAACGAGGAACCATTGGCACTTTGAAGCTAGAGGCGCAGTCTGGTTTATAAAAATAATATGTATTTAAACACCTGTCGAGCCTTGTGGCGCGAAACAATTTTCTTAAAAAAAGAGGGTGTTGAGCGAAATTCATCAGCTCACCCATATTTTCCGAGCAGCTATCCTCTATACTTTATTGAGAACGAGGAACATTTGGCACTTTGAGGCTTGACGCGCTGTCTGGTTTATAAAAATAATATGTATAAACGACCTGTCGAGCCTTGTGGCGCGAAACAAAATAAAAAAAAAGAGTTATATTTGAATTTTCTAAATGATTGGCCAAGATCCGAGGAGGTTTTTAAGCCATGCATAACCCCAGCCCCTCCAAATATAAATAACCCCCACTGCTCTGACAGTCCAGAATAGTTGTGCAAGTGTGTTCAGGGGCGGATCCAGGAATTTTTGCAGGGGGAGGGGGTGTCATGTTCCTGAGACAATGTATCTCCCCCACCCCCTCCCGCAAGGTCTCTATCGTCATTTTGGCGTATATACATACACATTGAGCTTTTTTAAACAGAGAAATTCAACACCTCGTTTGATGTCAATTTTTGTTATGAATTAACACTAATGACATTGTGATTCAATTTCATGGATGCAAAGCATTAATTGTGATGTCACATAATGTCTATATCATTATCTCGTGCTTTGAGTGCCCACCCTTTCCCAAATCTGACGATAAAGGGTAAAGCACACGGCCGAGAAACCTTTCTCATAAAAAAATGTTGATTTACAAAAAAATTTATGTAGCTCTGGTGTTGACAAGACAATTCTCGGATAGTAGGCTATTGAACAGTGTTATAGGCATTTCTATTGTTTGTAGCCAAGCCATGTTCCAAAAAAATAAAGTTGATGGTGATACTTATCGTACAGCGGTAATCCCGGTAGACGTTTCTATTGTAGTCCAGTCATGTTAAAATAGGAAAAGACCCCCCCCCCCCCCCCGGAATAGTAGGCCTACGCATATTGGTAATAATTTTCGTGGCCCCCACCTAAGAAGATAAATGTATCCCGATGAAATAGGCATGGTTATAATTTTTTTCACAAAGATTTTTCTTTTAATAAAGCATGTAGCCTAATCTATGTTCGATGAAATATAACGAGCGGTAATCTTCGATAATAAACATAATCGATCTGTCATTCTTGTGTAATGTCGATTTTATGCAGTCTTCACTCAAGCATTCGTAGCAAAAGTAGTAATATAACTAATATAATAATATTACAATTTTTGGGCAATGAGCGACATGGGCCATCTGTTGTGTGTTATTTTCAAAAGGCAAATTTGATTCCCGCGAAAATAGTAGCTGTACGGTTATCTGCCCCTGTCATGATAAAGCGTGCCACAGACGCCATCTTGAAGATCGAGGTCCACGCCTGGATAAATCGAGCATTTTTGTTCGGTTTTTGAGCTGTACATCTTCGATTCTTAAGTCTCAACTTGGTCCATTCATCAAAGTTTCACTTGAAGGTATAAATGTCATCGAACTATATCAGTATTATTATAATTCAACAGAGAAATACAACAATAACCCTCTTCGAGCACCATATTTTTTTGTCCAGTCAACAAAATGTCGAACATATCGTTTAACTTCACTTGCGCGAGGAAATAGCGCCAGGTCTAGTGACTGGTTTATCACAACTAAAAGAGGTTGTATGATCCGTTGTCAGTTATTTTGTTTAGAAGACTCCTCTTTATTTAGGGTGTTATACATAATTAAATATCTATATTTAATGGAAATTAACTTCCTGATATCAGTGACACAGTTTTAAAACGATGTTTTCCGCTGGCCGAGAATTCAGTCGACTTCGATCCGTCTGGGCGGACAGTCTACCAATATGGATAGTACATCCAGACCACAATTTTGTGGATAGGTGTCCGTTTCATAAAAAGAAGAAGACTTGTAGAGAATGTCTAAAGTGCTGTTATCTTGACGATTATTTCCATCAAATAACGACCAGATTCTTGGACTGGTCATCCAGACCATTTCGTATGCAACTGTAATCACAATGTTACTAACAAAGTTAAAACCAAAGGGCAAAAATTATTTAAAATCTTTAAATAGCCCAATATCTTGAAGGCTTGCCAATCCATTTCAAAATCTATTTCTTTGTTAAATTGTTTTGAATGTTTTAAAAATTGTTATGTTATGATTGGTTTTGAAATTAGGGAAGCAAACAACCTTAAAATGAAGTCTTTATTATTAGGGTTTACGTTTATCTAATAATAATGTGCTTAGGCCATCAATTATTGATCATAGAAAAAGCTTATAGATCTAATGTTAATTTTTCAATTAAATTTTTTAAAAAGGTACCGGTAGATCTATTCTTTCAACATGAAATTTTTTTTATGCGCCCACATTTTCATATTGTTGTCGACCTGTCCGTCCGCAATTTGTTTGTGTACACTCTACATTTCACAATTTTTATCCGATTTTGATGAAACTTGAAATATAGGTTTATCTCCCAAAGACCTTGGCTCCTTTCAAAATTGGCATGTATCGGATCATAGCGTCCTGAACTATGGCTCCTGATTGTATGAAAAATCAAGTTTTTAGCTTGTCGTCCCTCTAGAGGTCACAATTTTTATCTGATTTAAAAAAGCGTTCAAATATATATACATCACCTTTACACCATAATGACGTATGAGTTGGAAATTCGTAAAAATCGCTTCCCGTATGCAAACAGTGTAAAAGTATGGTATATCAAGGTTCTGGACCCTCTAGAGGTCACAGTTTTTATCCACCCCTTGTCAGTGATGCAGGACGGAGGGCCTGACAAGGACAGCTGTCTAGTCCTTCGGATGCGACGAAAAAACAAGGTCTCATGTAAACATTGGAATGCACGTAAAAGATCCCTTGGCAGTTGGAATTCGATGTAAGAGAAGGCGATAGTGCCGCTGCCCGGGCAAAATTTCCCTCATAGCACACTGTATGGCATATGCCCGTCTTCATTAGCCCAGTATAGGAGCAGAACAGTAGGACGTTAAACCCCATTTCATTTCATTTCAGTTTTTATCCGATTTTGATGAAACTTGAAATGTATATTTATAACCGAAAGATCTCTGTTCCTTTCAATATTCTCGCATATTGTACTGCAACTTACTGGATTATGTTTTTATACGCCCACATTGAAATGTGGTTTATATTGTCGTCGCCTCCGTCGGTCCGGCGTCCACAATTGCTTGTGGACGCTCTAGAGGCTAAAGTTAATATCCGATTGACTTTAAATTTATATACAGTGTTTAAGGCCATGAAACGAAGAAGCCTATTCATTTTCAGCGATTTTGGATAATTACTGCTAGAGTTATGGCCCTTGATCACTTCAAAAAATCTTGTGGATGCTCTAGAGGCTAAAGATAATATCCGATTGACTTTTTGAAAATTTATACACAGTGTTTAAGGTCATGAGACGAAGAAGCCTATTGATTTTCAGCGATTTCGGATAATTACTGCCAGAGTTATGGCCCTTGATCACTTCAAAAAATCTTGTGGATGCTCAAGAGGCTAACGCTAATATCCGATTCACTTTAAATTGATACGCAGTGTTTGAGGTCATGAGACGAAGAATCCTATTGATTTTCAACGATTTCCGATAATTACTGCCAAAGTTTTGGCCCTTGATCACTTTGAAAAATCTTGTGATGCTCTAGAGGGTAAAGTTATCATCCTATTGACTTCAGATTGATACACAGAGTCTAATGTCTTGAGAGGAACAAGTATATTTATTTTCAATCAATTTTGATAACTTGAACAGCTAAATCCATGATAGTAAATGTTTCGTATACTAAACGTTAGCATGGGGCGGAACTTTATAAAAAAAAAAAATTCTAATGATTTTCTGATAATTACTTATCAATACTTTCACCGTATTTAATACCTTAAATCACTGTCCAAAGTTTTAGGGACTACCCAAAATTAAACGAAGGGCTGTCATGTTGCTGTACTTAGGGGCCAGAGAGGGATTTCTCGGGCTATAACTTCAGGAATTTGGGGTCACGGTAGCTAAGTGGGTAAGACGCTGGCTCGCTAGCCTGGAGGTCGGGTGTTCAGTGATGCAGGACGGAGGGCCCGACAAGGACAGCTGTCTAGTTGTTCGGATGGAATGAAAAACCGAGGTCCCCTGTAAACATTGGCGTGCATGTAAAAGATCCCTTGAAGTTGGAATTCGATATAAGAGTAGGCCGTAGTAGTGCTGCTGGACGGGCAAAATTTCCCTCATAGCACACTGTATGGTGTATGCCCGTCTTCATTAGCCCAGTTCAGAGAAAAACAGTAGGACGTTGAACCCCATTTCATTTCATTTTCATGTCTGCTGTCGGGTTATGAAAATATTGAAAAGGGAAAGATTTTACATGGCTACCAAATAATTCAGGACTAGTTATTGTAAAATTTAAATTTCATCAGTGTCATCATTGACATTATTTCCATAATGGGAGTTATGATGTTGTTATCTTGTAAGATCTGTAAAATGTTTACAAAACTAAACAGTCTACAATCTACTTTAATATAATGGAAATGAAATACAAATTCACCTGCACTATTTAACAAATATAAAGCCTATAAATTAGCCTTTTGCAGGTGAACATAGCCAATTTGATATATTATTTATAATATTAGTATTAGCATACATGTACATGTTGTGTACACATTACTAGATTATGGATTAGAATTATGTCTTAAATTCCACCCCATACCTAATGATATAGTTGATACCAGTTGTTATCGTACGTCCACATTTGTTGTTACATATTTAAATATTGTCTTTATACATTTCAGATTGAATGATTAATCTTTCAAGATGATGATGCAATATGCCTCCCATACACCATCAGGGCTGTTCCTATGTGCATTCTGCGACATGGGTTTTACTTCGAAACCAGAATGTTTGGCACATATGCAGTGTCATTTACAGAATGATAGAAATGACAATCATCCACAACAACATCAGATGATGATTCAAGAAATTCCAGAGCCACAGATGCAAGAACAAGTTCACACAGTTGTTACTCATCAGCAGCAACAACATCCTGGTCATCATGGACATCCTCATCATATGCAACAACATCATGAACAACAAACTCATATGGTACAAGTAGAAACCCAGGAACATGTTGGAGCTGAACAGGTAGCAGTAGTTCGTATTTATGTTTGTGGTAACTGCAAGTCAACATTTTTTCAAGAGAGTGACCTAGCCCAACATATGACCAGCCATCAACAGCTTCGATGTAATATTTGCTATGGTTTGTTTGAATCTGAAGGGCACCTCAATCAACATAAAATGGTGCACAAACAACAGGCATTAGAAAACAATGTTGTTCTATCCAATATCCCCCCAATTGCTACAGGTCAAACCGCTAATGCTAATGTCATACCACACAGTAATGAAATTAGAAACATAACTGTTATGACTCAGAAGAATATTAATCGAATGAGCAATCGGCGTCAAGATCCTACCAAAGATCGTCCATTTGCCTGCGATGAATGTGGAAAGTGTTATGTTACAAAAGGTGTGCTTGGTCAGCACAAGATGACTCATAGAGGACATAAACCCCATACGTGTCCAGAATGTAATCGAGGATTCTACAATAAAGGCCATTTAAATAAACATCTTTTGATCCATAAAGGTGAGCGCCCCTTTCCTTGTAACATGTGTGACAAGAGATTCAGAGCTAAAGGTGATCGTGAGTCACACATGGTAACCCATACAAAAATACGAAATTTTGCTTGCCAAGATTGTGGTAAAACTTTTCTACAGAGTAGTCACAGAGCCCAACATTGGCGCCTACATCACTCTGGAGAAGAAGCTAGAATTTATGCCTGTGAACAGTGTGGTAAATCTTTCCGTAACCCTGGCAACTTGATTCAGCATAAGATGTTTCACAAGGGGGTTCGAGCTCATAAATGCACTGATTGTGACAAAGCATTTGTAATGCGATACGATCTTAAAAAGCACATGAGAACACACACAGGTGAGAAACCTTATACCTGTGATATATGTGATCGATCCTTCGCACGTAAAGCTACCATGGATGTACATGTTAAGAAGATGCATAAAGACAAGAAAAATCAAGGTGGAATGGTGAAGAAACCATTTGGATGTGACCAGTGTCCCAAAAAGTTTCGAAAGAAGACCTTGTTGACAAAACACAAAAAGCGGTTACATCCAGAAGAAGGTGAAGTTGTACTGAAAACTGAAAATGAAGAAGAAAATGAAGAGGGTTTGGTTAAAGAAGAAATTGATGATGAAACCCTGGATGATTCCACCACCGAACCTGGTGAAGTAACAGCCATTGTAACGGAGGAGGGTACTATTATTACTACAGAAGGTGATATCAAACAAGTTCATTTAGTAGAAACAGCAGAAGGAGAAACAGTGCCAGTCATTTCTACAGAAGATATAGCTGTTGTAACGGGTGTAGTATCAACTAATAATGAGGGGGAATTAATAGAGGCAGTAACAGGCACAGCTATACAACAAATGGATGCTTCAGGCCAACCTACTATAGCAATTGTACAAAGTAATCCAAATAGCGAAGCATAACTATTAACAATGCTTAAACACAAAAACTACTTGTACAAATTACGAAACCCTCATTCAAAGTATTATTGTAAAACAATTAATATTGTAAATGATATTTTATTATTAATTTTTTCATTTGTTTTATATCGATGCCCTTTGTTGTTAGCACATGCATTACATTTATATCTACTACATGTAAATAGCTTTAGTATCTTAATCTTGCTGTGAATAAATATTATTTTGCAGATATTGTTCAAAATAATGTCTGCAATTTATTTACTTAAATTGTATTTCTAGATGTAAATAATATTTTGATATAGAGGTTATTTGTTAATTATGTTAGAAGAGTACTGTTACAATAAAATTGTGCCTTTAAAAGTTTAAATTAATGTTAACCCTGAATTTATGCTTATTAATGTTTCCTGTCAGTACAGTTGCAGTCATGGTGTGCAGTTTTCTTTTTAAATTTCAAGTGTACTTTTCATTAATATTTGAAGCATAATTGAATGTGACCAGTTCCTTTTTATTTACATGTATATGCCCACAATGTTTGTGGAGGTAATCATTGTTGTCATCATCCGTGACAGTCCAACATTTCTTGTGGACACTGTACAGTTTTGTTAGAATTTATTCGAACTTGCAGGGAATGTTCATTTTGTAGTTACGGGAGAAAATTTTAAAACTTGGTGTGATTTCTCGTTGGGGTATAAGGAGGTACCCTTGTAAAAAAAAAATTCCAAGTCATGTTTTGACATGTAAAGTGTCAAAGTCATACAGAAGAGATGGGTTTTTTTTTGTTTTGTTTTCTTTTAAATTGGTATTAATGTTCATTGGGTCTAATAATCCTATAGGACATTCAGAAATAGTTAGCATTGTTCAAAATGACATCTTGTGAACGTAATACGAGACCGTCTTCCAGTTTTTAAAATTTGGTGAGATTGCTCATTGTGCCATAAGAAAGAATTTTGGCACATCATTTTTCCATTCACATCTGGCAGGATACAGAAAAAGGTTCTCATTGGAATTTATTGAAACTTGGTGGGATTACCAAAAGGCCTTATTTTTCCATTCAGTTTTAACTCTGTTTTGGGGTGGTTTTTTTTATATGAATTTGTTGTGTAAGGTTTTATTTTCATGAGGATTTTATTTAATGTCTATATTTTTTTAATATTTCAAAGAAAGAGATATTTCATTAGAAAATCCTTGTTAAAATAAGTTACGGTATTAATAATAAAGCCCCCCAGATCATAAATTGTTTTGTTGCTCAACCGAAATTGTAATCAAATTTCTATTGCTTTTGGCAATTCTCTGAAGTAACAGTATAACAAATTTTCTTTCAACATAACATTGCCAACCTGGTATTCAGAAATATGCTAGATATATTGCAAAATGGATTTATGATCTGAAAGATCTGTTTGGATTTGTATATACACTGAATGTAGCAAGAATTATAAATAAGGTTACCTGTACCATTTTTATACGCCCACATTTATGTGGTCGTATATTGTTGTCGCGTCCGTTGGTCCGGGGTATAAATTTATATACAGTGTTGAAGGGTCTTGGGACGAAGAATCCTATTGATTTTCAACAATTTCCGATAATTACTGCCATAGTTATGACCCTTGATCTCTTTTCATTTGATTGATTTTATATTTTTACACCATGTTTACGTCAATAAATAATCGTTTCGATTGATTTTAGATTAGAACAGAGTTTACGGTCTTGAGACGAATAAGTATATTGATTTTTGATAACTAAATCCATGATATTTAATGTTTTGTATACAAATTCTAATGATTTCTGATAATTACTCAATGAGTTGTTACTTTTAATAAGATTTTAGAGTATTATAAATGTTTCAGTACCGACAAAAGTAAAATATGCGACAACTCTTGTTGACTGCCCAGACGATTTAGCTGCTCTGTCCGTATGTTTTCTGGTCTGGCAACCTTTCTTTATTTTATGGATATACATGTATTATAATTGGAATGGTAAACTACATATTCACTAAATTCCTTAACCAATACAATTGTAGAATTTAGTTATGGCAGGGATACTGGAATGTTATGATTGAACTTATGTTACTATCTTTGTCATCACATAATACATGAGTATTTCTAATTGTTACATTTATTTTTGTTAAGCTCAGATATTTCATTGTATACTGTTAATTATCACCAGTCAGTTAATCTTAAAATAACTAAAGAAGAACTTTTACCAATGAAATCTGTAAAAGCGTAAATTCATGAAATGCTCATAGAAATTAGATTGTTTATTCAGTTTTGGCTTATTATCCCTAAATTGTCAAATAGATTTTTCACCATGAATTTAAATGTACTCCAAAAATTAGACCCAAAGTGAGTGATGATGAATAAAAGTTTGTTCTGTTCAATTTTTGTCATTTTAAAGGAACTAAACCTCTTTGATACAAGATGAAAGTAAAGTGTTGAATTACATGTACATTGAACAAATATTATAAAGTAGTGATAGGACACCATCAAAACAACTACATTTTGGTTATATTTTAAAGATACATTATTGGAGATTCGATAACGAGTTGGCAGTTCTCACTATAATAATTAAAAACTAGATAATGTAAAGGCAATTTGCTGAAAATTTCTTTCAAATTGATCCCCTATGAACCGAGAACTAAGCGAATGAAATTAATGCCTAGCCTCGGTCATCATTACTAAAGTCAGTACATTAAACAGCCTAGTCTCGATTATCCATTTAATCGTTTACTCGAGAAGGAAAGTTGTGCAGTAAATCGGATCACAATCCACTTAAAGGCTGAATACCACTCTTGTTGTAACTGAATAATATGTCCAATCTTTATTCTGGTCAACAAATTGTACTATTTTAGAATATTTCAATTAATTGATGATACAAATTTCATCTTAACACACCTTATTTAAAATTTTTGAAAAATTCAAAATAATGGTTTGAAACGTCTAACGTAAACCTTTTCAAATGAAACTTCGATTTAAAAATATTTTCGAACCCTCTGGACAAGTAAAATAGGATGTAATGGATAATTTACACAACAGGTAGGACACTTAAACATCTAGTACTTAGATAGAGATATTATTTATTTTCTGGAGCTTTCAAGCCAGCAAGAGTGTTATTGTCCCTTTAAGATCGCAGGCTAGCGATGCCATCTGGAGTTGATTATGGTCTGGATAAGTTAATTAATGTCTAATAATTTAGATAACATTTCAGGCCTAAAGAAAGACCTGCAATAGACAGATTTAGCTCTTGCATAATGTATGTTTAACATCAGATCTTTCTGTGGACAGATATACACTACACTTAACAATCAATTAAATCAATTCTTAGTTTTTTTCAACCAAATGAAAATGGTAACACCGAGTGAGTAGTTGCATGAAGAAAATTGGATTTAACATCAACTCAATATTGGTTCATCTTTATTTTATACACCCATGCAAAGCTATTTAGCAAATATATGCCTTGTAAAATACAATTAAAGCCTTCCCAGTGCTTCTTCATGAATGTTATGGTCACTGAATAACATTTCCAAAGAAATCTGGCAGACATTATTCCTGCAAGGAACAAGTATACTGGTGGTCTTGTTAAATCTCTAACTCAATATCATCCAAAGTCTTCGACATTAAAAACACAAATTATTTGTCAATTTAAATTAACATTGATGTGATCTTACTGGGAAAAGATGGACTTCTGATATCCAATATTTAAGACAAAATAATCATTTGTAACATGGGACTCGAAGAACAAGGCTAGACATTCCACAAGTCATATCAAATGGTGATGCCATATTCTTATCTGGAGAACATGCGAATAAATACTATCTATCGGTGTAGACTGAAATAACCAGATGCTAGAGATTACCTATTTTGCCAAACATAACTGATTTGAAATTGGGGTAAAAACGGAAATGACTGAATGTAAATCAGTTTATATACATTCATATTACATTATTATATGAGTTGCGACCCATTTGTGTCAATTTCTAGATCCCAAATATTAGTGACTTGGCTCCTTTAAAATATACTGAGACTCAGTGTACTACTCTTATAAATATAGATGATTGTAAATTGCATTTGTGCAGTTTTCTGACTGTAATCAGATAACACCACAGATTAATTATTTCGAAATCAAAAAAAAAAAGGGTGAATATTGAAAATCATGACTTATTTACAAAAATGTGAAAGATGAAATAATATGTTATGGTTAACATAGAGAATGTGCCATTGGTAGCACATGACAAACCCGGCAACCATTTCAGGGCCCGGTTCCTAGAAAATTCTTAAAGTAAGCACAATGTCATGCTTCACTTTTTCTTAGTAAGAATCTTTGTAAAATGGTGTCTCTTGAAAATTCTCAAGATCATTCTAACGTAAGCACAAGTGAAGTATGAGTAAGCACATTGTGACTGGTAAACTGAGACTACGATGCTCTCTAATGTCATAAAAACAGTTTTGGTATGCGAATTGCATCATAAATTGGTGGGCTGCTTTGTTTATCATGACATCTATGATGGCATTAACTTCCCGGCAAATGGTTGATTTAAATGCATTTGGCATGTTTCCTATACATGTACACATACAAAATGTGCCACAAGCTAAAAAGCGCAAGCACATGCAAACCGGCTGAATAAATGTGATAGCATCTGATCTTATTAGTAGTCTGTGTGTTTGTGTTGTTTACCAATTGGCAAATAAATAAGATGGTTTCAGGGCAGATGCAAAATTTTCTATAGCCTTCTTCTCGTGGATATTCCCCGTCTTTCAATTGTCTCTTTGGTATCAAAACATGTAAGAAATGTCGTCGAATATCTCTAGACTCTATGGTTGGTAAGCAAGCCCTATACCTTGCTTGGGACTTGTGCTTAGATTGGCAATGTTTAAGAACAAAGTTGTGCGTAAGTTTTTTCTTGGAACACATAAGAGCGTGATTGTGCTAACCATGAAGTCTACTTACAATCTAAGCACAAGAATGTTCTTAAGAATTTTCTGGGAACACAAAATAAGGTAAGTTTACTTAATTGCAAAGTCTACTTAAAATCTAAGCACAAGAACGTAGGATCATACTCTGTAAGCTTCCCGCACTGCATCTACCTACTTTGAGGAGGTTACTTGGGTTCATCAGTGCTAACATTGTACGTCACTGACTACATGCCAGGTGGAGATGCTGTGTTTTTCAGTAATCCCATATTGTCATTGTTCATGGGATTAATTGTATAGGATTCCAGAATATTCAATGAATACCCTTTATATTCCATCTAACTTTTAAACCATAAACATCAGAGGAAAATGTCATATTAAACCTTACAACACAGAATCACAAAAAAAAGGCATAAAAAAATCAACAAGTCAATAAATATTTTATATTGCTTAACTCCATATTAATTTACACTGTGTTGTAATTCTGTCATTGCCCAACGTTTATTTTCTAGTTCACTACGTAATTTACTGTATTCATCAACTAGATTTTCAAATCCCATTCCAACTGAATCATAGGCAGTTAAAGCCTGACTGATTCTTGATAAATCTTTCTCTGCAATATCTGTGGTTTCTTCAACATGTTTCCTTATGAAGAGATAAAAAAAAAAAGACCATTAGCATAAACAATATTAATGAGGCATTATGAAAGAACTACATTTGCCAAGTGTTCTGGCTTAAAATGTTTTAAAATTATTATTTGGATATATATTCACTTGACAAGTCCATAATCAACTCTCGAGACCATTGAATGGCCGCCATATCTTAAACTTAAAGCCAAGTCAAAATTTTTCAGTAATGCATGACATAGACTGAAGATGTAAGTACTGACAATTGAGACTTAACTTATTATCGTGGCAAAAGGTGATTCTCTTTACCTTCACCAAACACACACCCCCAAAGGGTATGCTGGCAGACTTACTTGATAATTCCTAAAGCTTTAACTGTTTCTGAAGAATAGGTATCACACAAAACCTGCAGTTGAATTAGTCTGAAATATTAAGATCTCTTAAATAAACTTAATTACAAACAATAATGAGTGCATGATTATTTGTTAAGACAAGTCTTTACTTTCTAAAACTATCTTGTGACAAAAGTTTTTTTTCTTTTTATATACCCATATATTGCCTCACGCCTGTCCATATGTCCCTGTTTTGAAATTGATATATGTTGTTTATATCAGTGAGATGAAGAATCCTATTTAATTTCAATAATTTCCGTTAATTTCTTCTGGAGTTATGGCATGTGTTGAACCTTGTGAACAGAAGTTATCATCTGATCTGTATGAATTTATATGCATCATTTAAATTAGTGAAATGAAGAATCTTATTGAATTTCAGCAATTTCCGTTAATTAAGTATAAAGTTAAGGCCCTTGTTTCACTTCGTTGAACCTTGTGAGGGCTCTGTTATCATCCGTTATTTAAATTAGTTATGGCTCTTGTTTTACTTTCTTGAACGTTATGAATGCTTGAATGACTAAAAGTTATCATTTGAAAAGCCTATTGAATTACTTCTAGAGTTATCGCTCTTGTTTAACTTTGTTGAACCCTGTGTATGCTCAAATGATGAAAGTTATCATCTGATCTGTATGAAATTTATATGCATCATTTAAATTAGTGAAATGAAGATTCGAAGAAGCCTATGGAATGACAAAAGTTATCATCCAATCTGTATGAAATTTATACGCATTATTTAAATTAATAAAATGAAAAAATTGTGTTGAATTTCAACAATTTCTGTTATTTACTTCCAGAGTACATGCCCTTATTTCAGTTTGTAGAACCTTGTGAATCCTCAAACGATGAAAATTATAATCTTATCTGTATGAAATTGTCTTGTAAATGCCCCCAATTAAAAGAATAAATATGCGACAACCCTTGTCAACCGCTCGGAGGATTTAGCTCCTGTGGGCATATGTTTTGTTGCCTGGCAACCAATCTTTTTCATACTCGTACTTTCATGTAAGTCGATTTTGCATATTTTTCACCATTTTATATAAGTTTTATATGTAGTTCAGTCTTCGTTTGTAATTAGTTTTTATACTACTATCTAGTATAATGAGAGCATCGCTAATAGTAATACTGCAATATTCGTCCACATTCCTGCTTTGATTCATATGGTACTTTTTAAAATGAAGAGAGTGAAATGGCTGCAATCATTGCAGTGCAATGACAGTAATAAGACAAGAGGCAAAGAAGGCTAGGCGTTGGGTTTGTTTTGCCAAATTTACCGACTAAATGTTAACAAAAAAGTGTCTTTACGAAGTTTACGGCATAAGGAATAAATATGCAAAGTTTCAAGATGATCCATTCAGAATTGCAGTCTGTAGACAATAAATACAACCAGCGGCTGCCAGGCAGGATAGGCCCACATTTTGCAGGAGATGGATAGAGAACAAGCTAAAAACAAATGTGATTTTTTGTACAATCAGGGGCAATAATCCAGAAAGTAATGGTCTGAAATGCACAAATATCAAAAGGGGCTGAGATCTTTGGGATATAAAGATATGTTTTAAGTTTCATCAAAATTTGATAAAAATTGTGACCTCTAGAGGGTCCACAACCTTCGTATTACATACTTTTACGCAATTTGCGTAGACTTCAACCTTCATAATGGTGATATATTTAAACGTTTTTTAAAATCAGAAAAAAAAATTGTGACCTCATGAGAATCTGCAAGCTAAAAATGCGATTTTTTGAACAATCAGGGGCCATAATCCAAAAAGTTATGTTCGGATATGCGCGATTATCAAATGGAACCAAGATCGGATAAAAATTGAGACCTCTAAATTTTGTACAATCAACGGCCATAATTCAGGAAGTTACAATCCGATATGCGCAAATATCGAAAGGAACCAAGATCTGTGGGTTATAATTCAAGTTTCATCAAAATCGGATGAAAATTGTGACCTCTAGAGCCAACATTACGGTGTAACGGTTATATATTCGAATGTTTTGGTCCGATTTTCACAAAATTCGAACTCAGTAAACATTACGGTGTAACAGTAATATATTCGAACGTTTTTGTAAAACAGATAATAATTGTGACCTCTAGAGGGACCACAAGTTAAAAACACGATTTTCCATATAATCGGGGGCCATGATTCAGGTAGTTACGATCTGATATGTGCAAATATAGAAAGCAACCAAGATCTTTGGGTTATAAAGATGCATTTCAAGTTTCATCATAATCGGATCAAAATTGTGACCTCTAGAGGGTCCACAAAGGTGATATACCAGATGAAACACTATTTGCGTAGACATGCGGCCATTTTGTCTGGCAGTTTTCGTCCGATTTTCACAAAATTCGCACTCAACCAACATTACGAATATGTATTTCAAGTTACATCAAAATTGGATCAAAATTGTGAACTCTATAGAGGGTCCACAACTTCGATATACCATATTTTTACACTGTTTGTGTATGAGGGGCGGCCATTTTGTTCGGCAGTTTTGGCCTGATTTTCACGAAATTCGAACTCAATTGTTATTAAGGTGTAACAGTGATATATTCAAATGTTTTTTTAAATCGGAATAAAATTGTGACCTCCATAGGGTCCACAAGCTAAAAAACGTGAGTTTTCGTACAATCAGAGGCCATAATTCAGGAAGTTATCGAAAGGAACCAATATCTTTCGGTTATAAACTTACTTTTCAAGTTTCATCAAAATCAGAAAAAAATTGTGACCTCTAAAGGGTCCACAACCTTGATATACCATATTTTTACGCTATTTGAGAACGAGGGGCGGCCATTTTGTCTGTCAGTTTTGGGCCGATTTTCACGAAATTCGAACTCAACCATCCTTAGGGTGTAACGGTGATATACTAAAACGTTTTTTAAATCGGGTAAAAATAATGACCTCTACACTGTAACCCAGGTATCGTTTAATCTTGTGTATCTAGCACTAATTTCTTTCACATTCGTTTAATATCCAATCTTTGTTTAAAAATTTGTAAAAACTGTTTAAATTCACCATAAATCGTTTAATTTGTACTTCTGTCCAGTTTAAAGCTGACCATTCAATTTTGATAATGAGTGTCCAATTTACAAGTGTTTAATTTCTCAATCATTGTTAAAAAAAAACCCAACCCAATTGATTAATGATGTATAATGATTAATTTTTGAACAGTGATCAGGAAATTAAATACTTGTAAATTGGACACTCATTATCAAAATTAATCAGTCAGCTTTAAACTGGACACATGTACAAATTAGATGATTTTTGGTGATTTTAAACGATTTTTACGGATTTTTAAACAAAGATTAGATATTAAACGAATGTGAAAGAAATTAGAGCTATAAGGTCCACAAGCTAAAAACGCAATTTTTCGTACAATCAGGGGCCATAATTCAGGAATTTACGGTCCGATATGCGCGAATATCGATAGGAACCAAGATCTTTGGGTTATAAACTTACATTTCAAGTTTCAACAGAATCGGATAAAAATTGTGACCTCTACAGGGTCCACAAGCTATAAAGATAGGTTGCCAGGCAACTAAACATACGCCCACAGCAGCTAAATCGTCCGAGCGGTCGACAAGAGTTGTCGTATATTTGTTCTTTTGTAGGTAATTAGGGGGCATTTAATAGACAATTTCATACAGATGACATTATAATTTTCGTCGTTTGAGGGTTCATAAGGTTCTAAAAACTAAAACAAGGGCTGTAACTCTGGAAGTAATCTACAGAAATTGTTGAAATTCGACAGACTTTTTCGTTTTACTAATTCAAATAATACATAAATAATACAGATTGGATGATAACTTTTGTCGTTCGAACGTACAGAACTTTCAGCAAAGTAAAACAAGGGCCATAACTCTAGAAGTAATTGACAGAAATTGCTGACATTCAACAGGCTTCTTCATTTCACTAATTTAAATGATGCATATGAATTTCATACAGATTGGGTGATAACTTTTGTCGTTCAAGCGTTCACAAGATTCAACAATGTGAAACAAGGGCCATAACTCTAGATGTAATTAATGGAAATTTGCTGAACCTCAATAGGCTTGTTCGTTTTACTAATTTAAACAATACCTATAAATTTCATACAGATCGGATAATAACTTTTGTTGTTAAAGCATTCACAAGGTACAACAAAGTGAAAAAAGGGCCATTACTCACGGTGTAATTAACGGAAATTGTTGAAATTCAATAGGCATCTTCTTTGCACTAATTTAAATGATGCAATCAAATTCAAACAGATCGGATGATAACTGTTGTCATTAGAGCGTTCAAAAGATTCAAGAAAGTGAAACAAGGGCCATAACACTAGATGTAATTAACAGAAATTGCTGAAATTCAATAAGCTTCTTTGTTTTATTAATCTAAATGATGCATATAAATTTCATACAGATCGGATAATAACTTTTGTCGTTAGAGCATAAACAAGGTACAACAAAGTGAAACAAGGGCCATAACTCACGGCGTAATTAAAGGAAATTGCTGAAATTCAATAGGCTTCTTCATTTCACTAATTTAAATGATGCATATCAATTTCAAACAGATCGGATGATAACTGTTGTCATTAGAGCGTTCACAAGATTCAACAAAGTGAAACAAGGGCCATAACTCTAGATGTAATTAGCGGAAATTGCTGAAATTCAATAGGCTTCTTTGTTTTACTAATTTAAATGCTGCATATAAATTTCATACAGATCGGTTGATAACTTTTGTCGTTAATAGGCTTCTTCATCTCACTAATGGGTCATTCCATATCAACTGATGTAAGGTTTTAACCCGACCCCTCCGGATTTTTCCAATTTTTTTATATTTTGTTATGGATCCTTTGAGATGACCATATGCCAAATTACAGGCCTATCGAACAATTTTTGGCGAAGTTATTGCGCCCAGAAGAGTTCTATGTCGGAAAATTGAGTCACATCCAACCGCAAATTTGCTAAGTTCAAGCAAGGAATTAGATAGGTTCAAAAGCCAATAGACTTATTTTAACTTGCTTTTCTAATGGAACTCTGGCCAAATTTTCCG